AATCCTCAAGAGAGGGTATGACATCAACACAGTGGAGCCGGGCGTGACCTTGCTGACGTTTGTACCTCCCATAGTACCAGGTTTTGAGAAACGTGACACTGATCTTCTCAAACAGGCTATCCACCGGACACATTGAGTGGATGGAGGTGCTGTTACAACACGGAGCAGACCCCAATGTCAAAGACTCGAGGGGATGGACAGCGCTTCACTCGGCTGTGGCCGAGCCATCGCTGAATTCCTGTCAGCTCCTCCTTGAACACGGTGCTGTATTGCCAGCAGACATACTCCAGTCTGCCATAGATTCTGATCACACAGATACAAGAATGGATATGGTCAAATATCTCATCGACAAAGGGGCTCAACTCAACTATGTCCGCGACATCAAAATAGGCTACAAGATCTGGCAAGGATCCCCTCTACATGTTGCCGCTGGTACAAATCGACTTGACATTGCTCAGCTTCTGCTGAGTGCAGGGGCAGATCCCAGCGTCAAGTACTGGGACAATACGCCGGCCGACACAGCCAAAGAGTTGGAATACATGGATATGTATAATCTGCTTAATACAGATACAGCCCCCGAAGTATCTACCCCTTGATGAACCACAAAGAACGAGATAGAATGTCTGTCCAACAAGCCCCCACAGACAATGATAGTGTCGGTCGCAAAGATGGCCACGTGAGGCTTCACTAGATACATACTACCCCATTTCAATACTCAGTCGCCGTAACAGATGGATGCGACCTAAGATGTCGCTCAAGATATAAAGTGCCATGCAAATTCTGCTTGTAAAGTCTGAGTTTCTATGACAAGAAGCTCTCTTTCAACATATCAACATCGAATTATCAGTAGCCGCAATTTGCGTGCAACTCATAACCCTTTTTGAATTCTTTGCACGTCACGGTTTCAGAAGCACCCAAATCTCCACCCAAACGAACACAATTACTAAATTATGATTGTTTCAAGGTGGCTTGCTCACTTTAAAATGTCTCCGAATGTCTCTGTCCCGCTCTTCGGCCTGTTGCTGCTCTTAGTAGCAGTAAGCGCTTTCCCATCGGCGTGGTCACTTGGTACGTGATCCGTAAAGCACCCCTCTCATAATGCTAGATGCTTTGCAATTGAGACTAACCTGGGGTTCTAGATTCTCATTCCATGGGACTGTCGTCCTTAGACTGGCCACGGTCTACTCCTGTCCGGCGAGATGTCGAGCCTTTCACCCAATACCCAAAGCGCGATGATGATCAGGATATCCAAGATACCTGCAATCCATTCTCCATGATTCAAAACTTCCATGAGCCCATTGACAGACTTTATGCTCAAGGATACAATGTCTCCTTGGCTAAAAGAGTCAAATTGGAAGTCCCTGGTGATGACACAGACATGGATGTGTGGATGAGAGAACGCACGGAAATTACGAAACCAATTGTTTGGGAAGTCAGCCCAGGAACCGACGCCAACACAGCAATTTTCCGAAGATTTGGAAGGAATTCTTTTAGCCTCGGAACGAACGGTCTTTGTGGGTGCAGTTCACTGTGGATCATCAGCAGAAAAGGGGTGTATGCAACTCACTATTGGGAGAGTATCTCATTTGCGCCCGAGAAAGAATGGAGAAACCCAGGCGAAACCAATGCTGAGGTTTTCGAACGTACTGTCATTGATGGCCTCAAAAGTGGAATCGCTGTCAAAGGCAAGCCAATGCAGGCTAGGCTCAACAGAGACGAGATTGCGGACGACCATATCAAGGCTTATCTTATTCATCCTCAACGAACATGGAAAAACACGCCCGCCGCTGTTGAAGGTTATCGAGTGCAATGGAATAGAATCAAGGACACCGTGAAAGCCATCATACCGGAATTGGCGTCAGATGATAAATGGGAAGAAGTCATCTACAACCGGTTACGTGGGAACGACCGACAACTGTTTGAAACTGCACTTGGACATGTGTTGTTCCAGTTTTCCCCTGATGACCAAGAGAAAAAGAAGGCTGCTCTATGGGTTGAGAGACGGAGGCAACCATACCATGACGACGCCTGGGAGTAGGCACGGTAAACATATCCGAAGCGAGTGTTGTTGAGCCCTAGAAACTGAAATCCCACAACAAATTGGCGGGACTACGGATTTGTTGTTGTTAGCTTTGCTGTTGGCTTTCGTTATCTCCTATCGTTTCATTATTTGTTTAGTCATTGGTACCTGTACAACGGTGTTTTTAGCTGAAATCTTGAGCTTCTCAGAAGTGGTTATCAGGATCCTTGAACATCACAGCCACATTTCAGATTACTCGCTACAGAGGATACCTCATCAGGAAGGTGAGCTCAAGTATACCGGTCCCATTACAATTCTTCAATCAAGTTACCCTAGATACAAGGCTTGGCACACAGCAGAGGCGCACTGGTTCCAGGACCATCCCTTCAATTAGCTGTCTTCTCAATCAGCGCTGATAACGAGATAAAGCTACTGCTTGAGGTGCCGGAAGCGCAGCAGTGTCGAGGGCAGACATTAAGTGAGCTACTATCTTTTTCGATGAAAGAGCTTTTGTCCCTAGGTCCAAATGCAAATTGCTTACCCAGACTTGATGCCCCTCATAGCCTCCCATTCACCTTCCAGGATTCCATAGCTAATCATATCATACCATTGCCTATCAAACCAATAAGACTCACGGCTGCGGCCTTCTTCCACGAAACCAAGCTTCTTGTATAAGTGCTGCGCTCGCTCATTGTAGGAGACAGTGCCAAGGTGAACCCGATGGTAGTTTCCATACCGGAAGGCCCAGTCGAGAGCCCAGTTGATAACCTCGGTTCCGTAGCCCTTTCCTTGATACTGTGGTGCTATTGCGATCCCGAGGCCGACTGAGCGGTGATGGGCCCTTGCCGGAGGAATCCCACCCCAGCCGATCGCTAGGTATCCTATGGGCTTTGGCGCAGCCGTCTTCGCTTCGTCAACTTCCTCGTCGCCGTCGCCAGAAGTATCTGCTGGAAGGCAGACCATGACAGAGAGAACAGATTTGGCCATTTGCTCAACCATCCACTCGCTGTGCTTGCTGGTCCTCGGCATCAGCGCCATCGGGTTTGAGAGAGCGACGGTCACTGGGTCATTCTCGATTTGAGTATGGAGGAACTTCTTGTCCTCGTCGTTGTTTTCCACGGCCCTGAAGATAAGCCGTTCGGAGCGATAGGCGCCTTTCAGGTCGTCAGTGAGCATGGTGGTTGTTAAAGTGTGCTCGTGGTGTCGCAACAAATATGACTGTTCGAAACAATTGGTAATAAAGGGGACTACTCAAGGTACTGCTTAAAGTCTGAAATCGACTTTTTGTGCAATGACTGAGCCGACCCATACCCTTATGTCTACACGGTCCACGGCTGGGAGTGGATTCCTTCTGCGTTCAAAGAGTCTGAGTCATCCTATCACGAGCTACTAAGCTTACATGTACGTTCAAGCTGACGTCTAGCCCCAACAAAAGTTCCGTTAATGCCTGAGGGGGGCGCCCCTCCTCCCATTAGCCCCATCCCCAAACGTCCTGAGAATATTTGAACATGACGCTAGGAGCTTATCTCGAGAGATTTCTGCGCGCTCGTTGTTTTCCGTTGTTGGAAATTGCACATTATCAACTTAACATACCAAGGACTCATGGGTCCTTGGGCAGTGACGCACAGGGAAATCTCTATAGCTCAACTAAAGCCAGAGGACAATCCAGTGGAAAATATTTAGGCAGATATTTACCGAGACTTCAGGTTGCCTGCCGGTTTGTCCCTGATTAACACGCGGCGATGCATCCTGCTGAGGTGTTGTCATGGAATGTTATTCAAGTGCCCAAAACAGCTCACTTGATTGATGTATGGCTGGAGTGCTTATTTCTACCTCTGCCGAAATCACCGTTTACTAGGTCAACACATTCTACGGTTCCAATAGAGAACCGCGTTCTGAGGCGGGCACTCAAAGCGTCTTGATAGACTTGGATGAAGCTGTTAGTACTCTTAGTACTCCCTTGGCTACGTAGTAGATGGAGGCATTGCTGGAAAGCTCAGCTCGTAAAAGCAAATGCCGTCGGTCTAAACTTGGAAAGGAGTCCACATCCATGAGCAGCCCGACTTGTCGTTAACATAGCATGCGTGTTGAGGAGGGGGCTATTTGACGCATTGACTTCTAAGTTCTTTGAATTTTGCTAGAATTGGTTCGAATTATGAGCTTTCTCTAGTTTGTTTGGAGCTATTACCTCTTAACAGAGTATCAAGATCCTTATACCTACAATATTGGCAGAATGAAAGGAAGCACGTGTTAGGGGACAGGCGACATCTTTGGCGTGGCAGAATCAAAGACACAGCTGTTGTATCTGAAGCTAGGTTCCAGGACTGAAATCTTCCTTTTCTTAATTTAGAACGTGGAGTTCAGTCCTTTATTATCTTTCCCTTGTTGTGTCCTTTATACTCATCCAATACTAGACTTCGCTGATCCTCGCTGTCCACGAATCAATAGTAGAAGTTGAGAACTTGACACGTGCATTGCTAGGTTCTACACCCCACGGCAGCTGTCTGTGGAATGCTCACATATTTAAACCTGTAGAGGAATGAATTGATCCGGCGTGGCACGAGGCAACATCTAGGAAGCGATGAGAAGTTAAATAAGGTACGTTACCCTATCATTGGGTGGCGTCTAGCTCTCATGCCCTTCGGACATTAGGCCTATCTCCATATCGACATCCGACCTCCGAAATGTCCGGGACCAAGTTGTACATCTTCCTTCACAGGCCGTAAAGTTCTTCGCTCTTCGCGTTTATGTTTCTAGATGAAGAGCGCGAAGTATAGAAATGAGCGCGTCCTCCTATTTGGCGGGGTTTCTCGTCTTAGCGCGACAATAATGGACTTAAGAAACTCTCCGTCGTGCCTCTAATTACCCTCCGGATACGGCCGTTGGGAAAGGCCATAAGTAACCACAGAGTGACTCAGACATCACGATACGGCGGCTACCTTCGCTTCGCTGCATACCTTCCTATCAAAAAAACAAAACCATGACCGTCTCGCCAACCAAGATTTTGTTGAAGAATGGCGTGCTTCTTATCCATGGAGAGGATGGCAGAGTAAAACCTCAGCGGTCGGATATATTCATCGAGGGAGACACGATTTCACAAATCAGCCCAAATGTCAGGACAGCCGGCGAGGATGTCAAAGTCTTTGACTGCGAGGGCAAGATCGTGTCTCCAGGCTTTATAAGCACACATCATCATGTATGGCAAACCGCGCTGAAAGGTCGCCATGTCGACCACACTGTACTTGAGTACTTGCCACGAGGAAACTTCATTGGGTCATTATTCTCTACCGAAGACGCATTTTGGGGTGAACTTGGTGGCGCACTTGAAGCTATCGATGGCGGGACCACGACCATTGTGGACCACTCCAGTCTGAATGTTGGCCCAGAATTCCGTAAGACCCTTGCTCAATATAATTATAGCCAGTAGTTGACGATGAAAAACCAGCCCCTACGTTGATTCAGGCGCTTATAGCCTCCGGGCTTCGTTCTGTCTACTGCTACTGCGTTCCTAGAACGACCAGCTGGAGCCCGTTCTCTACAGCAGATGACTATACATCTTCACATGTTCTCGAAGAATGGAAATCGCTAGTGACAAAGGGCCCGTACGGAGACGGGCGAGTGCAAATTGGTTTCGCAGTGGACAACTTGTATCAGTCGCCCGACCAAATGAAGTTCCTTTACTCGGAGCTTCGCGCTGCAAAGGCTAAGGTTATAACATCACACGGTGCTGCCGGTCTAGCTTTCGGCAATGGTCCTTCTGCTCTCCAGATCCTGAACAACCACAACCTGCTTGGCTCAGATATACTCATCTCTCACGCCAACTTCCCAAAGGATGGCGACGCAGAGCTTGTCAAGAAGCACAACGTCTACATCTCTGCAACTCCCAACACAGAGCTTCAGATGGGATGCCCGCCAGTCGCCCTTCACCCAGAGTTTGAAGCAAACTCCAGCCTCGGGGTTGACTGCCACAGTTGTGGCAGCAGCTTCATGCCCAATCAGATGCGACTTGGCTTGCAGTATGCCCGACTCGAACGACAAGAGAATCTTCGGAGACAGGGCAAGTGGAGCCGGCATGTCGGTCCGTCAGCTGAGCAAGCCTTCAATCTCGCTACAATTGGCGGCGCAAAGGCAATTGGCATGGAGGGTGAGGTTGGCCAGATCCGCGTTGGAGCAAAGGCAGACCTAGTAGTCTTCAGCACCGACAGCCCCGCCATGCTTCCTGCTGCTGAAGAAGATCCCATTGCAGCGGTGGTTCTGCATTCGAGTGAGAGAGACGTGGAAACTGTCATCGTTGGAGGCGTCATTCGGAAGGAGAATGGAAAGTTGCTACCTGTGTCATTTACCGGTCAAGTTGAGGGGGCGAGTGACCTCGGTCTTCACGGGAAAAGCATTACGTGGAAGGATGTTGCGGTGAATTTGATTCAGAGCCGGAGTAGATTGAACAAGAAGGCAGAAGGCATCGACATGACGGTGGTGGAAGAGACGATTATCGACAATTTCTACATGAACCGGAAGGATATGCTTGAGCAGTCATGAGTATGTTTAGTACATACAGTTGACGATCCGCGGCTACTTAATTATTCTGCGGTCAAGGATTCAGTATCTGGCCAACTCTGACTTTCAGATTTCCGTTCATCCAAAATGAAGCACGGAATGTCTACTCCGTCTTAGAGGAGTCAATAACACGATTGGGCGCGCTGAGTAATCCGAGTGATTTTGAGCATGTCGCGAATCATAATGGACCCATACTTATCTGATAGAGGTGTTCAAGACCACCACCAGCCATCGACGTAACTCGGCAGCTCGAACATCGTCGTGAGTGAGGTCGACTTCCGGATATTCGGCTCCCGGCTCAAGCATGACTTGAACCATGGAGCAGTACATCGTGACGGAGTTAGTTGCCAGCACACGGAGTTATCACTCAAGATGCGGGGGAGCTGTCAGCCAACCCCACTTCGGCCGATCTCCGCCGCATCTAAGAGCGCCCGTGTCTATGCCGGTTGCCTTGATGCTGAGTTATCTTCATGGAGGTATTTGCTTGCGTCTAGAGGCAGATAAGGCTATTTCATTCATCTTATTTTCGGTGCAGCTCAGATTGAGTTCTGCACTGAACATCAGATCAAAGACCTCGCATGATGCCCTCGGTTCCACTTGCCATGGAATATCGACATAGCGGAGACTTAATGGCGTGATTATAACTACCGCACCCACCGCCAGTCTGAAGCAGAAACCTCCTCATCTTTAATCTTCCAGCATCAACCTAAAGCAACGAGATCCCACCAAACAACCTCCAACATGCCAGAGTCCAAGGTCATTCCGGCCTCGGCCACGCCAGTAGCAAAGCCAACGGCTACTTTCACCGGCGATGTCTACATGGAACTGATCAACCGCGACGAAAGCGCGGTCATCGCAAACGTTACCTTCACCCCATGCGCTCGGACGCATTGGCACACCCACGTTGGAGGACAGATGATTAGAGTGCTGGCCGGTAGCGGATGGGTCTGCGACAAGGGCGGCGAGGCGAAGCGAATCAACGCTGGAGATACTGTTTGGGCTCCTCCGGGCACGACTCACTGGCACGGCGCCGATGATGGAAGCATTATGACGCACTTTGTTGTTGGCATTGGAGAAACGAAGTGGCATGAGGCTGTCACCGATGAGGATTACAAGAAGCGGTCCGAATGACTTCAGCATTTGTGAGTTTTGAAAGACTCCATCTTGAGAGCTCTCTGGAGAGTCTCTGACAGCTGGATATCTAGGGTGACGTTTTTATCTCAGATAGGACCCATCCTCACTAGCAGCCTGCATGTAGCGTCTCAAAACAACTCATTTACCAAGCTTCGCCTATCCTCGTCTCTCGTATTTTCCAGTGACTTGAATCTGCGGTGTCTGGAAAACATCCCAGTTATCAGCAGCCGCAGGGTTCCCGAAAGGTTTCAGTGTGGCGAATCGCATGCTATTTGGAAATTTTGTTAGCCACCCTCGGCAAAGATAAAAGGGTTCATCATGACTTACGTGTAGTTTCCGAGCTCAATCTGGCTTCCGTTGCCAAGTTTTCCGAACCACCAGAACTCATGGTACGACGCCTGGGTCTGAGCATTGCGGTACAGGTCAACCTGAGGGTAGGTCCAGGTGTCATCTGGGTCATAACGACTGGGGTCAAAGTATGACACGCTGCCAGCTACAACGTGGCTGGTGGCTGGGCCAATGTAGCCGTTCTGACCGGGGACGGGCGGATATTGCCATTGTCTATCGGTCCAACCAGCTTCGTAAATCTTGGTACGAGTCAGCCGCCATTCACACGTTCAACCGGATTTGGCAGTAAAACTTACGTCCCATCGGACTTCTTTGCTGCCCCAAATGAGCTTTGAGTAGATGATGGGGAAATCGGCGACGGATGGGTCGAGATTGAAAGAGTAGACACTGCTAAGGTTAGCTGGTACTTGTCCCGAGACCTGGACACATCGACTCACTAGTCTCTTTGTGTGGTGAAGGGGTACGAGGGACGATAGATCGGGCTAATCTCTGCCTTCAGGTTCGCACCGAGGCCTTCATTGGAGTTAGTCAAGTCATCGGATTGTTGACATCACCGCACAATCTCACCTAGGTAGGGCACGGAAAGTTGTTCTCCGCTATTGCCAGAAACTATGACCTTTCCGCTGTAAATAGGCAGAGCAGACGAGTTCCAGCCAAGGCCGTCGGGGTTGGGAAAGTTGACACTTTACACCATTAGCTCTTTGCAACATAGAACATCCTTTTACAATGTGCATCTCACCTGACAGTTTTGCTCTCGCCTGGCTTCAAAGTGAAGTCTCTTGGCAAAGACACCTCAACAGGAAGACTCTTGGGCGTCAACTCTGTAAAGCTCTTGAGTCTTTTCTCGCCACCCCAGGGTGCGACGAATGGGTACCAGCCAAGGATTTCCACCCCAGCGGCAGCTTCATACGAGAGCTTGTAGCTCACATCCTTGGCACCATTATTGGTTACGGTCACGTCGTGGTAACGACTGAAGTAATGGGTGTCATTGAGCGCGATTTTCTCAAAGGCGATGTCGGTGGTGTAGTTGACAATCTTGAAGGCGTTGATGAGACCGTTTCCAACTTGGGCAACCGATGCCGAGAAGCCGTAGTCGGTTGCGGTTCCATCGGACCAGGGGAGAGAGGTTCCGCTGGCGATGATTCTTTGGTGCAGTGTCTTGGCGAAGCCCTTGCCTGGAAAATACAATGATCAGTTACAATCCAGTCATTGAGACCGATTGAGAGGACTTACCATGTACAGATCGGCCGCCGTGGGCACTGATAAAGAGTGCAGCTACGCCAGCTACGTAAGGTGTAGCCATCGAGGTCCCGGACAGCAGCGCATAGGTATCATCAAGATAGGTGCTAAAGATCTAAGACAATGTTAGTATGTCTAGCAGGGAGGTGCTCAAGACTGGTAAGACTGACTTGACCACCAGGAGCAGCAATATCGGGCTTGATGTCGAGGTCGTTTGAAGCACCCCAAGAAGTGAAAGTGTTTGGTCGACCACCGGCGGGGTATTCTAAGCCAACAACCTGCTCGGGGTTGAGAGAAAAGTCCGCGGTAACATTGCCGCCGGCTTGAACCGTCTCAATGATGGCCTTACCAGCTGCGGCGGTGATGAGGGCAATCAGACCAACATCGTCATCGGTTCCGGGTGTGATGATGGGGTTTTCGTTGTTGTAAAACAAGATGTACTCGGCACCAAGGGCAACTAGGTTTGCTTGCTTAGTTGCGAAAGTGCAAGTCCCTCTTCTTACCAAGGGAATAACGCCCTTGAGGCTGCGCGTGCCGTTAGGGTACGGTTCGCAGCCGTCCGCAGGATCAGTGATGTCGAAGTTCAGAGGAACAACCGGCCAATCAACGAGATCGGATGAGAAATAGTAAGTTGAAGGCAAGTATCCAGCCTGTTTGATGTTAGATATCATGGCATGAGATCCACGAACGAAGACCGCACCTTGACGGTCTCAGTGTTGCCGTCGAGAACCGATGTCAACTCGAATGGCGAGGCAGGATACTTCTCGGTCTCCACAGAGGCCACGGCGAGAACATTCTTGCCAGAGGAACCACTGCTTCCGAAGAAAGCACCGGCAGCACCCGAGTTGCCGTTGGCAATCGTGACTACGACTCCTTCGTCGACCAAGCGAGAAGCGATCTCAGCCCACGCGTTTGTAGACCAGCCACCTGGACCACCAATACTGGCAGTGATAATGTCAACCTGCCTCAATGTCAGTACTTGCGTGATTTTTCTCAAGGTCTAAAGGATCCTTACGCCGTCGGAGTAGGCTCGGAGGAAAGCCTCAATGAGAGTGGCATCATCCGTAGCATCCTGCCGCAAGTCAGAAAACAACAGCGAGTATGCAGGGGCACAGATGTCAAGCTCACCAGTTGAGCGAAGACCTTGTATGAGTAAAGCGACGCCTCGGGGGCAACACCACTCCAGCTGTAAAGGGGAATCATTAGTCTCTTCTGCAAAGAAATTTCCTGGTGACCTTACAAGTCATTCTTTCCAGCAATAATTCCTGCAACATGGGTCCCTGTGCGGTGGTCAGATTCGGCCCTGGTACGAAGGGTCAAACGTCTTCATACCATGTCCAAGCTGGTCCAACGGATCATCATCTGGGGTCTTGTCTTCGTAGGGCCAGACTACGCATGTTTGTCAGAATGCTCGCGTCTCGCACCTGACTCTGAGACTTACTGCCGTTGCCGACGAGATCGTAACCACCAGCGACCTTGAAACCCGGGCCGAAGCCACCTCCCAGCTGTGTGATGTTTAGCACTCGAAAAAATGAAGCGGATGATAAGAGCAAGTAACTCACGGCGGGGTGCGTGTACCAAGTTCCAGAGTCAACAACACCGACTTTGACTCCCTGCCCAAAAATGCCCTTGTCGTGAAGCTTGCTCACGCCTGTGGTGTTGTGCGGGCTGTAGTCACCAGCAGCAGCCTCCTCGATCGACTTGAGACCCTCAACAGGAGACAAACTGACACGGGTGTTTTGCCAGACGCGAGCGACACCAGCTAGGTTCTGGAGACTGTCAATGTTGTGGGTGTCGGTCTCAATGCTGGCGCCGGAGAAGATGTCGCTCTCAAAGTTCTTGACGACCTTAATATCGGCCTCGAGGGCAACGTCGCGACGGGCTTTGGCTGATCCCTAATTCGAGCATTAGTCCAGGCTTCTGAGTTCCCGAGTCAACATTGCATTGACATACCGAGGCATACTCGATGATGTAGCTCTTGGCAATAGGGACAGTAGCGTTGTTAGTCTCATCTGCACCCTCTGGAGCTTGACGAGTAGCGAAAGACTGTGCACTCCCCAGAACGGGAAGCGCAAGGAGGCTGGCAATACTCAGCAGATGCATTATGAGTGTTCACTCAAAATATTGCGCCGCTTGAAGCTCTGTCTCTTGGATAGCAAAAGCCGCACCGGTGGGATGAAGCTCTTATAGTCGCGACTTATTGACGGCTCTGGTGACATTCACATCGCCTCAACCGAAATCCGGCTGCGACTCTTTGTTGCAGCGTTACATTGCCGATACGGCCATGGGCAGAGAGATTCCTGGCGATATCGCCATTGTTGTTGGAATGAGCTTCCTTCTTGGGATGGCTAATATGCCGGGGTTGCACGCGGTATCGGACGATGGTGCAGCGCTGACATTGACAATCATACCGTCTTTTTTAAACATGGCGGAAATAAACAATGTTCCGGTTGTAGGAAGATCTCATGATAGGCATTAAGAAACACATTGACCCCCGAAAGTGCGTAGCATCTCGTATCCAAAGGCAGCTATAAGCATGCCCTTCGAAGCGTATTTTACGAACGTCGATCATGAGCTTTCATCGCGTTGAACAGCAAACAAGAGAGATGTGCTGTGAGATCAATTGAGGGGTAAACTCGTTCTGTAGTGCTCGATGCTACCCAAGGGATGTTGCCAAGACACTACCCCTGAAGAACAAGGTGCGTTTGATGGCAAATTGCAAGTCGAAATCTCGCAAATCTCGTGTTGCGCTCTCTTCGATAACGACCAACTACGTGACTCGGAAAACGCGCTGTTCGGTCGCTGATTGCGCGAGATGGCACCATTCCTACTTCATAGTGCGATTAGGCTCATGACATGTGGTGTAGCTGGGGGTTAAATGAACTGCAGAGACCCATGACTGACAACATGTCATAGCGAAGGGCTGAAAGTGAGCTCAGGCTTGATAAGTATCCGTTGTCAGGCGCCTGCGAGCTGCAGGTTCCTGCATATTCTTCTATCAATCACCTCGTGTTCGACGTGCGCATGCAACCCAGCCCTTGAAATGGTATCTTGGCCGAAGGAACCGGATCGGATGCAGCGGCCAAACCCTCATCCGGAAAAGGAGCAATCGCATTGAAGTCGGCTGAGCGGCCTCGCGATTTCTTGGCCTTTTCCGAGAGCTGTCAGAGTAGGCCAGTAAGATGAGCACCAATACGGCGAGTACATGTAGATTATCCAATGCGGATAAGCATAAATGTCATCGAGGTGAATTCGGCGAAATGGCCAGGCTAGGATCCACTTTACCGGAGTTGAAGCCGGGAAAGCCCCCGGGCGGGAGATTCGCGCTACACCCGCAGCAAGAGTGAATCTGGACGAGCCGGTCCGATTGCGACAAACTTAAATAGTTCTAGTTGGCACTCGAAGATCGC